ACACAATTGATTTACCTGTTAGGAATACTTTTATGTAAGTTCATTTTCATATGTACAGCCTTACTGGAGGATCAGATCAGAATTGTTCTCATAAGGACAGAAAACAATTTACTCAGAGTGTTTCTGTCTAAATCACTGAGGTTCACATCCTTACTAATTACTATCTAGTTTGGTCAAAGGTTAGGACCTCACATGTATCTTATAACTACTTACAAATATCCCCTTACGCCAGTTCTTTCTTGACGGCAGGGACATTGCCTGCACTGTCCTTGGTATAGGACTTGGTCCTTAGGAGAGTCTCAGAATTACTCATCAACTAAGTATCAGGCACTGGTTACCAAGGCATGTAGCACTAGATCTGTACCACTGTTTAACACAAACAATACAGGTAAGTAAAGTATCATATACTACTATCGCAGCATACTTAAAAATCCCTCCCCAACCCTGAGTATCCTGTCGTAGGAAAGGGCAAAACTACCCTACAGATATCACTGGAAGAACAGGCATGGCGCAGTATTTGCCTCAAAATCCTAAACAGGCAGAAGAAGGAAACAGCTTCAACACATAATTCATAAGGATCTCCTGATGCCAAATGCTGAGCAGACAGCAACTCCTGCCTTCATCCCATGCATAGGCAAGAGAGTCAGAAGCAGTGAGACTAGCCAATGTATAGTCCTAACAGATCTACTACCTGGGTAGGTGCTCCCATGCCCTAAGCATTAGCTCATATAGTCATTAAAATTTAGTTGGAGAAAATAACATTCTATCAAGGAGACAAAGTAAGTAACTTAAGTTTCTAAAGTTCCTCAAATTGATCTCAATACAACCCTCCTTCTTGCATGAGCCTCCCCTAACACGTGGCTGTGGAGTGTGGTGGTGGGAAGGTGGCGGGTGATAGGGGATGTTGTACAAATGGAAGCCAGGGCTGATGTCTCGTGTCTTCGATTGTTCTCCGCCTCACTGTCTGAGCTCTCTGGGCCCCTGGCATGTGCTGCTGTTGCGGCTGCACCTGACTTTTTACGTGAGTGCTGGAGATAAAAGCTCAGGTGATACACCAAGTACTACACTCAGGAAACCACTTTTTCCAAGCCCCAGTAGTTAAAACCAAGAACCAACCCATCAACCAACTACCACCCCACTAAAAAAAAAAAAAAAAAAAACCCACAAAAACTACCCAACAAAAAATACCCACAAAACAAAACAATTCAACTAAATAACTAAATCTTATCATCTGTCCCCCCAACTCTCAAGATAGAGTCTCTACAGAACGGCTAGAACTCGTTCTGTAGACCAGGCTGTCCTTGAACTCACAAGAGATCTACCTTCTTCTGCCACCTGAGTGGTAGGATTAAAGTTGCATGTCACACATCTGGCTACTGTCTGCTTAATTATTACCTTACAATAATCAAATGTCTCTCTGCCATGCACTGCTATTGTGACATGTCACTGTGACTTCCTGGAGACACCCACATCGCACACTTGAACACATATGTAGTAAGTCTCGCTGTTACTCACGTAGCAAATAAGACAAACGTGGTGGGCTACTACCTCATTGCTTTGGCCCCTCTGAGCACAAGCCCTGTTGTACACTGACCCAGGTTCCTGTGTGGGAAGGAAGCTCACCAATCTGTCATGCCTCCTTCTTTCAGACTCAATTGTTGCTACCTACTGTGAGCTATTAAAGACCTCATTTTGGAGCAGCAGTTGTTTGTGGACAGAGAGGAAATATAGCATAGTAGGGTTGAAGAGATGAAGTTTCAAATCACACTGCCACCATATATGATTGGTAAAATCTGTACTTTGTACAAAATGAGATGACTACAGACTTACCTTCAAAGACGTCTGTCATTTTGCAGATATGAGCAAATGTGGCCCCAGTTGCCCAAGTGTACACCACATCCATCAGGTGAGGCTTGAATGAGCTTAGGTAAGTTTCTTCATCAATCTCCAGTTTTGCCTCTGCTGAAACTTTTGCAATCCTTTTAGCACATTCCTTTTAAGAATAAAGGACAGAATTAAGACTCTTTCCTGAATATCTCCCGTACCACTGTTTTTTTAGGTTTTCAAAGCAAAATTCTACAAAATCGCTTTTCTTTTAGGAGAGATACAGATGTTCAATATTGTCTCTTGAGTTGGATATCCTGTGCTCACAGGAGTCATGCTGACGTCATGCCACAGCCAAGCCTTCCCAGGGTCTCAGTCCCAGTGCTGGGACATGCCCAGAGGATGCTAACCTCTGTGCCAGTCACATATTTACTACAAATCTCACAACTCACTATACTTACCCAAACCCAACAGCAGCACCTAACCAATCTGTTTCTTGAACATCAGAAAGCCATAGAGCTACATGAGACTGTCTTACAGGAGAGACAAATGGCTAAAGATGGCATAGCAATGAATAGCATGTTGCTGTTCTGAGACTCAGAGCTGGGCTCCCAGAACTACATCAGATGGTTCCCAACCACCATACCTCACTCCAGCTGCAGGGAATCCAATGCCCTCCTATGGCCTCTGTTGACACGTGTGCTCATACCCACACACACCACCCCATATACATAGAGTTAGAAAATAATAAAACTAAGTATTTAAAATTTTTTCTTAAAAAGTAAAGCTAATGAATACTAGAAGTAAATGTTACTTTTTTTTTTTTTTTTTTTTGGTTTTTCGAGACAGGGTTTCTCTGTGTAGCCCTGGCTGTCCTGGAACTCACTCTGTAGACCAGGCTGGCCTCGAAGTAAATGTTACTTTTTAATATTGAAGAAGATGGGGCTGGAGAGATGGGTCAGTGGTTAAGAGCACTGACTACTTTTCTAGAGAATCTGGGTGCAACTCCCAGTACAAGGACAGTATCTAAAAACCATCAGTCTCAGGTCCAGGAGACTCATATGTGACACTCTCTGCTGGCCTCCATGGGCACTGAACAATGTGGGGTAGACATACATGCAGGCAAAACAACTGTATGTATGCATAAGATAAAAATAATAAATGAAATTTTAAAAAATTACCATGGCTGATACTGAGGAAGAAGTAATAGAAAGTCAGTATGCCTAACTCACATTAATTTTAAATCTACATTTACAAAGCCCATATGTTGTAACAATAATGAAAGTAGATGCTTAGTTACTAGACTGAATATCAAGAAAGCTAATAAAATATAATCAAAAGACACGACTGAGAGCAAACGTATTTATATTTGCTCTGTGGAATGATGCAGTGTCATAAGTAGCCTGTGAGTGTGGGAATCTTTCATAATGACTAGCTTACCTGCATTTGTCGGAGTGGTCCAGCTAATTGCTCTGTTAATTTGGGCATCTCACTAGACTATGATAAGGAAAAAGAAAATGAAATTAGAAAACTCAAGCTTAAAGTACTATTTGGTTGCTGAAATGAAGTAAAGTTTTTCTATTCATTCATACCAAATTACAAGATTTCAATGATTAGCATTTGGAATTTCTAATCAACTGACTTCATACACAAAATTACTATTCTTCTCATAGTTAATTTTCATATTTCAGAAGAAAATACTACATTGCTAAGTGCAAAGTGTGCTATTCAGGCAATTTCTGTGACTAGAAATGGAACAGGGAAGAAAGCAAATACTGTAAACAGTAGTGTAGCTAGCATCAATGTTTAATCGCAGTTTAGTTATGAGTTTAGCTTCTAGGAAAGTTTGTAGAAAGTGAAATGTAGGGTGAATACTTAAATACTGTCACTAATCTTATATTTCTCAATCAAATATATGATAATTCAAATTGTAATTGGACTTAATACGTTTTTTGGTTTTGCTACATAGCTCAGACTGGTCTTGAACTCAGAAATCCACCTGCCTCTGTCTTTTTTTTTTTTTTGGTTTTTTGAGACAGGGTTTCTTTTTATAGTCCAGGCTGTCCTGGAACTCACTCTGTACACCAGGCTGGCCGTGAACTCGGAAATCCGCCTGCCTCTGCCTCCCAAGTGCTGGGATTAAAGGCATGCACCACTACTGCCCGGCCAACCTGCCTCTGTCTCTTAAGTGCTGGGATTATAAAAGCACATGCACCATGCCAGTCTGACTTTCAATATTGTTTTTCTCAGTAGTAGAATTTGTTAATGTCTAACTTAGACAACAATTTAATCTATTACTATAACCAGTTAAAGTTAAAGAAAGCCACTTGACTTCTGTGTTGGGTTTCTTCTCTGTTAAAGAGAAAAAATATGTGTCAGGATAAAAAAAAAAATGACATCACCATAAGAAAAGTATGTTCAGTAGTACTGTGAGGATTTAAAATAACTGTGTGTGTGTGTGTGTGTGTTTGTGTGTGTGTGTGTGTGTGTGTCCGTACGCACGGCGCACCTTCCATTTCCTATGATTGCTAGGAATTCAGGTGCTTGAACTACTGGGTCTGGCTGGAAGGTTAATGTTTTAAAAGGCAGCTACAGATGAGTTGAATTAGCAGTTGGATTAGTGTGTAGGACTTAGTTTCAATTTGGTGGATGTGGGTAAACACATTACATAAGACATCATATTACTCTTGTGAAAACAAAAGCTTATCAACAGGATTCGTCAACAGGAAAAACTGCACAGAATGAACGTTAAGAGATGCTACTGACAGCATCCCTTCATGAGCAAGCTCCTGACCACATTTCTATCTTCAGGGCAGCACAGGCGGAAGGCACCGGTCCTGATCTGAAAAGAAGTGGTGCTCTCTGAATGTGTGCATTTGCTTCTTCATTTTCATTTGGGCATCCACTGAAATTTCCCACTGGGAAGGCTTTTTCTATTCCTCCTCATTAAAGTAAGAACTGGAAGTATCAGGTATTTCTACCCAGCTGTTCAATTTCTTCATTCTCCCGCATACAAGCCACGAGAACAAAAGTTTCTGCTTCATCTCCAATGTCTAGATCTATGCACTGTAAATACTGGGTGCTTAATAAATTTTGGTGGATACTGATTTTCATATTTGAAAGATATATGTAATACTCAAAATTCTTTTAACATTACAGAAAAAATGGAAGTAGTTTTAGAAACATTTTAAAATAGAAGTTAGTCTGTTAAGCACATATCATCTATCATATCAAAAATTTTTATTATATTCTTGCTGGCTTAATATGTGGCATATAAACATGAAAACAGATCTTATTATTAATAAATGTCCATTACATGATTTAATCAGCACTGATGAACGAATAAATAAAGCACACTATATTAACTCACATTCTCTTGAAACACAAAACAGCTCAGCAGTGCAGTCGCCTGTTCTGAAGAAAGGTCATTGAAAAGCCCATTGAACATCATCTCTGTGAGGAGGAGCTCGTCAGCGCTAAGAAGAGAGTCGATATCACAAGTCACAGTATAAACACGCATCTTTAACAGGTAGTTACTCACAAAATGTATTCTCTGATCACAAGGAAAGATCTACAGGGATAGCTGAGATGTTTAAAGGAAGTGGTAGACCTTTCTATTTGTCAGTATGTGAATGCAGACATTAGACACTTTATGATAACCAAACACACATACCCATTCAAGTAACCAGTTCTTAATGCTTATTTTGTTGGCGCAAAGAACTCTTTTATTTTTTAACTTCTAGTTACTTAGAATGTGATGGGAATTCTGTGTTTAATAACAAAATAGAAAAAAATTATTAGAAATTATAACTAGAATGCACTCTAAGATTCATTCTATACTTCAGGTTTTTTTTGATCCGATGCTGCAAGTGAGTTTGGCCAAGGCAGGTGAGAACCTGAATGGACTGGGTACCTGCTCATCAATGGTCACCTGAATCTGGACAAGCTCTCGCTCTGGAGTGCAGTAGGCCTGGAGTGGGAGTGGCCCATCGGTGACTCCACTGCACTCAGAGCACCTGCTGTCTGGAGTACAGTGGCCCAGGTTTCATTAGCGCTAGCTCATTACTTTGGGCTCCTTATTTGCATCACCATGACAGTATTTTAATGGGGCCAGGATCATGCTCTGGAACTATGCATCACCTTCATATGTGAATTTACATTAGACGATAAGATATTTGCTATGATTAGATTACTCAACAATGTTTTGTTTTTTTAAAATCATCTTTTCAACATTTGACTACATATAAAGTATTATGGAAACTTTGATATACAAGTCAAAAAACATTAAAATCTATTGTTACAAGTAATATTTTCAGAAAATAAGATGCTTCAAGTTCTTACCACAAAACAGTAAGTTCTTTCCCTTCAACAATTAATTCAATGAGTAAGAATCTTATATTTCTATTTTTGTTCTCTTAAATATTTTGTTTTTAAGTTGGTTAAGAATCTCATGAATTTTCTCTAATTACTAAGGATTTATTAGCTTGGTACAGTAATTATTAGAACATTTACTCATAACAAGGAGATAAAATTTTCTGAATATTTAAGAATATTTTATTCATGCAAACTGTTAATATTTATCACTTTAGATCTGGACCTATAAAAGTAAACTGGGACCTAAGCCGAGCAAGAGCAAACAACAACAGAAGCGAGGCACCGGAAGGAAACAGTCTGCCTAGTGGGCGCGGGAGAAGAGCGGTGGTAGCTAAGAGCACACACCAGTGATCTAAGGACTACATGCTCAGCAAGTGTAGAACGATGGTTGTCTATGAACCTGCCAGGCCTGCAGGCAGACTGCAGAGACACACAGCAAGTTTCAGAAGGCACTGGAGAACAGCAGGACCCTGCAGGATGTGGGGTAATGGTCGTACCAAGCAAAGGGAACGGCATCCGTGGGATGTCGGGAGAATCGAGAGGAAAGGCAATAACATACAAAATTCTAGAATTTATTCTTAAATAAACAGGGAATCACTGAAAAACTTTTACCAAATAGAATGATGTTACAAGATCTATACTCTGGGAAGAATCCTGGTGCGTCTGTCATCCTTACCAGGGCAAGGATGTTCCTGTATGATTTCAGTTTTAGTACATGTGCTGACAAAGTGAGCATGGAAAGGACATTCTGATAGCACTCTACAGAACATGTAGTAACTCTCAAGACCAAATGAATAATTAAAAGAGGGCAGTGCAATTATCTGGGTAGGAAAAAGTAAGAAAGCACATGAGTCAGGGGCAGGCTTTAGAAAGACAGAAGGAAAAGAAAGATAGGATTCCAGACTGACTTAAAGCTTTTACAAAATTTGAAGAAAAGTAATGTATCTTGATACATTGTTATTTTTATAAATAAAATCATATCAAGATAAAGTCAATATTCATTGTTCTGAGATGAAATCGGGCTGTATGTTTAGTTTCTCCATTCATCATTCAACTCTAGGTATTATCCCTTCCACAGTCCGGTTAGTGCATGAGTCGTTATTGACACAGTGGTGAACGCTTTTAACTGTACAGTAGGGAAGCTGAGCCATATCATATGTTGAAGAAAAAGATTCAAATCTAACTGAAAAGGTTTGATCTGGCTTGTCAGCCAACAAAATGCATAATTTGTGTGAATATTTAAAATGAAGATTAGACCTAAACTTCTGGATTCTTAGTTTCTCTGGTTGGGGAATCTAGCATCATGCCATCTGTAACAATGAGCTGGCACTTGGTTGACCAAGAGCTGTCTTCTTCATCTCAGTCGCTTCTGTAGTCTCTGGCGCTGACACAGATAAACAGCAACCACAAGCCTGTCCCAGAAATGCTCCAACCCAAACCATTTCCCAAGTCTGTGATTCTCTGAGGACATTCAAAAAAAGTTTCAACACTAACTTGAATGCACTGAGAATGATGGCCACCACTGCATACCCTGTCAAGAACACTGCTGCTCACGGACCACCAGCCTATGACTCTCCAACGGAGGAAAGAGTCAGGCTAGCTTCTGAGGCAGGAAACACTCATGATGGAAAAACAACCAATGGATTTTAAAGACAGATTGAAAATGAAAAAAAGTTTTTCTTTTGTGTATCATCTACAACTGCATTACCATGCAGTCTACCCCATGTAGGTGACCACTTCGATTCAAACAACATACATTTAAAACATCAGCTCCCTAGTCTCGAGAGTAACCGTGTAAGTGTCCAATCATCACACATGGCTAATGGCCACACAAAACAGTGAAGGTACACAACATTTTAATCACAGGAGAGTGTTCCATGGGATAGCTACTACTTTCCTATCAAGAGATGTCATTTTGTTTTCTATTTGATCTAGGAGCATTTGCGACTCCAATGTAATCAAAAGATCGATTCTACTGCTGAAAAATGTCTAAGCTAGATTACAAAACATCTTCAGAAAACAACTTCTACCTCACTCTAGAGTCCTAAGCCTCCATGTGAGGAGGTTCACCATTCTGAGGTGGTCATGCTATGCAGATGCTCAAACTGGCCCACCTAGAGAGGGCGGAAGGGAAAGAGAAGAGAGGAATGGGGAGAGAGAAAGAGCTATCTATTCAAATACTACTCACTTTATAGAGTCTGCTAGGGTTTTACTTAATGGCTATCTCATTGCAACTAGTGCCCGTGTATGGGGGTGGTGTGAGGTTTATGTGTGGTGGGAATCCTGAGCCAGAACCATGTGACCAAACCATTCCTGAATTGCTAACTCAGAAAAATACAGCTGTCCTTCAGTGTAAGTCCTAGGTAATCTCAAGTGAACCAACACCCTGAAATGTTCAAGAGCCTTAAACCCCCACAGGCATATCAGCCATGTCTGCATTACTTACATCGAAGATGACATGAACGCTCCTTGAACAACTGTACTATATATACTGTGAACAACTGTACTATATATACTGTGAACAACTGTACTATATATACTGTGCGGGGTAAAGATCAAAAAGAAAAGGCTATACATATGGCGCACATATGCATTTACTTTTTTTCAACATAATTTTCTATCTATAAGTGAGCTGAATCTGTGGATGACTCTGCATTTCCAAATTTAAGCTGCAGCCTGTAATATGCCATTGTGGTATCTTACTCCTTCCCTAAACTTGACTAAAACTTGCTCACTCTCTTGTGTTCCTCTCTCTATATATATGAATCATGGTCATTAGAGTTAAATGTCAACGCAGAACATTTTCAAAGTATAAAAAAAACCTACAAGATGATATATAAACTGCAATATAGTAAACACAAATTATATAGAAAGAATCTCAACACACAAGAAAATGTGTTTTATAGAAAACATAGCAATAGGCTAGCTAGAAATGCCTATGGCAATTCTAGGATCCATGAGACTTTTCTAATTTCTCAACTTCATGGCCCAAAATGTATTTAAAATGGAAGCATGGTAAGACCTTGACAGCTGTTTTCTAACAAGCGTTGTCCATGTAAACTATAGAATATAATTTAAGTCTCCGCAGAATGACATTTTACCTGCTTATTTCACAAGCCACACGTCCTTTCATCTCTATGACATCAGAAGACGTAGCAAAGCCCAGCCGTCTGAGAACACGCTTGCGACATTTGAGTTCATCCATTTGTAGAACAGTCCTTGCTTTCTTCAGTTCTCTCTTTGCAGACTTAATATCTATTGCAATCTAAGGGATAGAAAAGTAAAGACAGCTTAACAATAAACTGAATAGTGTAATGTGGGATAAACAACACCACCCCACATAAAACTAGTAAGGTCGTCTTGTCCACATCTTTCTTCATTAAAACTTCAGACAATTGAGCTGTGTATTGTAGGAGCTTAGATGCAGTTCTAGGAGAGGAAGGATGTACCTGAAAAGTTCTCACACTAGCCAAAATGTTAAATATGTGGAAAACACAAAATCACCTATTATTTAATACGCAGAAATGAATAAGTAAAATAAAGTGTACCTTTAGGTTTAAGTGAATGAGTTTTTAAATCAGAGCTAATCAGTAAATATTACATATTTTCTAACTGTGGCAGGAGAATGGTTCTATAAGAATAAGAAAGCAATCATATTCTGAAATGGACAATTTAAATTTAGTAAAAAAAAAATAAATAAATAAAACCCAAAGAAGCCGGGCGGTGGTGGCGCACGCCTTTAATCCCAGCACTTGGGAGGCAGAGGCAGGCGGATTTCTGAGTTCGAGAGTTCGAGGCTAGTCTGGTCTACAGAGTGAGTTCCAGGACAGCCAGGGCTACACAGAGAAACCCTGTCTTGAAAAACCAAAAAAAAAAAAAAAACCAAAGAAAAGTTTAGGAATTAAAGAGATGGAATTTGAAACTCTGAAGCTTTGTATGTTGTTACATATTAAGGTACAATGAAGGAAACTGATGAAGGTGATGAATAGTGTCTCTCAGGTTGCTGGTGTGCCTGACTTCAGAGAGTTTCGTCACTCACTGCTCTTCAGTGACGCTGAGGTGGCGCTCAGCAGCAGAGCACCTGCTTCGTGTGCACACGCGAGGTCTTAAGTCCAATCCAGCACAAGAGACTAATTTATAATTGGAATTTTAAAGCAATTCTAAAACGAAACAATATCAAAGCTGCATTTTACTACTGACAAAACTGAGACACAATATTACACAGAGGTCCTGAGCAACCCCGAGTTTAATTCAGCAAGTAATAACAGTCTATTGCTATGAATTGATGATTCCTACGCTAGACTGCTGTATGTGAACGAGTATGACTACCAGGCCTTTCCAAACAAAAAAGTTCGAGGATTTCTTTGACTGGAATACCTACATAAACAGAGCCAAACACTGTGGCAAGAACTACAAGAGACATAAAAGTTAAGTTAGACTAGAGCCCGGTGTGTAAGACTGTTTTGTAGCCTAACAATGAAACGACACTGGAGGCACACTGACTGAACTAGACCTATGACTAATCCCACCACTTCTCCTTCATGTGACTCTAACAATGCTACAACACGGGAGCTACCTGAATCTCTACTGCATCCTGCTGCCCTCGGCTTCTTGACTTACTAGCAATGGCCGTCAGGCTCCAGCACTTGTAGTTTCTCTAAAAGACAGCTAGACATTTGCACTTCAGAAAATAACAACAGGTCAAGAAGATAACCTATTTAATGAACAGTATCTGTGGGAGCTGGCGAGCTGGCGCAGTGATAAGGACTTGCTCTTGCACACGTGGACCTTACAGCCAACCCTGACTCCAGTCTAGGGGACCCACCGCCCTCTTCAAGCCTGCTCCAGCACATACAGGCAAAACTTACATACATGGAAGAAAAAGAAATAAAGCTTTAAATAGTTTGTTTTACTATACCTGTGCCTTTTTTTCACAAAGTGTGTAAACAGTTTCCAAATTAGGATCATTGTGAAGTGGATGTGAATACATTCGATGCTCAAAAGCCTCTACTTTCTGAATGACTTTTTTCAGTCCTTGATCTTGAATGCCCATATCATCAATAGGATCTAACAGAGGAACACCGTCAGGAAAACGCTTTTGAACTTCCTGAAATAAAATATACAAGACTCATTAATAAGGTCATACTAAACCACTTTCTTTTTGTGTCCGTTTTTACTATGTCTATGGCCACCAAAAGGACTATCCATATATTTTCCCACAGCTGGAGATCAATTTTCCATGGCATTTGTTTTCGAGAATTTCCCTTTGGAAGGAAGTGAGGCAGGATAAACCAGGGTCGGTCTCTGCTGCACAGGCTATGCAGCCGCTTGACATCCTCCTGCTTCAACCCCCCAGTTCTGAACCATAGCTAAATACCACTACAGCCTGAAAACTCCTTTTCAACCGCTATTCTACAGCTTAGTGCCAACTGAATAGATTATAGCCCTCTAATATATCTAGAGTCCTACTCTAAGATTAAAGCAATCCACTTACCATTGTTTCCTCAAATTCTAGAGAATATTCTCTGTATAGTATGCTATAGCAAATGCTATTCAACAGTTTTAGCCAACTTCTTCATGTTTATGAATAAAAAAGTCCTATTTATCATAGCACAGTGAGGATTAATGGTGCAGTTTTATGAGTCTTCCAGCTTTGAGTCTCCCTTCAGTAATAAACACTGCTGCTATACTCAGAACATACTACGTGTAATTCTGCTGAGACTATGTGTTTGTAGTTTTTTCTGAAATATATTTAAAAGCATTTCAGCATCTCTAGATAAATCCTATTTGTATAAAATCTCTATCTAGGTTCTAAATGGACATCCATACCTGTATGGACTTTAAGACACTCTGTCTGTTGTCCACAGGTCGCAGGTCTTTTGGAATGTAGAGCCTAACAGTGCTGATGGCAGACAAGAGATGCACCAAAACTGGAACGACCTACAAATACAACACTACGATTAAATTCCACATTTCCAAATTTGCATCCATCAAA